ATGTGGGATCTGAACCGGGGCCCTCTGGTATCCTAAGCCAGCTCTTAACCAACGCGCCACTCGGCCGGCCCTCCAGTCGCCATTTTCAATGTAGTTGCAGGAGGCGCAGCCCACCATCCCATGCGGGAGCGGAACCAGCAACCCTGTTGCTCAGTGCTCGCGCTCTAACCAACTGAGCCACCCGGCCGCCCCAGTTACAGACTTTTTGATAGGCAGCACTACAGGCAAGGCTGTAATGCAGGGGGAGGACTGGGAGAAAACATCTGTGGCTCATGGAGCAGAAAGGGAGTGCCTGCGCATACCACAGTCAACCGCACTACAGATCAGTGCAGCAAAGGCCCTGGATTCGGTACCCAAATTGGTGGGTGATTCGTGGACATGGGTGGCCATAAGACGTACAACTACTGGGGGATGCCAGTGAAACTGTGGTAAGAGCATTTCTTGCCCCTGCAGGAGGGTGAGCCTTCGCAGATCCACCCTAGTGGGGGTGGGATGGGAGAGGGGAGATGTCCCCTTGTATGGCGGGCAGTGTGCAACATGCCACTGGATGTTTGGAGGGATTTGGGCCAGGTGTTCTTATCTGAGATCCTCAGCCTCTGACTGAGCCATTCTGTCTCCTGGGTCGCTGTCCTAGGAAGGTCCTCGGTTGCCTATAGAACATGTATATGGGGTGCCACCCCTCAGGAAAGCTGGGCAGCAGCGAGCAGGCTGACGACACTGCCCCTTGGAGAAGATGGACCTGCATAGCCAGTCAGTGGGAAGACAGGGGCAGTGAGATCCTGCACGTGTGATAACCCTGCAGCACACACCTGTACTTTGCTGAGAAAGACCTGGAAGTACATCTCTGTTGACCAGAGATGGTGCTTTTGCTGGACACATAATAGTTGAAAACTTTACAGATGAGAGTGTGTTCCTGGGTGACCTGGGAGTGGGAACCACAACCACAGACCCTGCCGGGCCCCAGGAACTGCTGGTTGTGGCAGCAGGAGGTGTGGAGCCTTGAGCTTGGTCACGGAGAGGCTGAACGGGGGTGGGTAGATGAGCGAGCTGTGGACATGAGAGGATAGGGTGGGCTGGGAGGAAAGGGAGGGAAGAGACCCTTGGTGTAAATGCTGGAGGAGGTGGTGCTGGGAGGCATGGGGGGAGTGGCATCAGTCAGTGCATGATGCCGTTAGCCCCCAGGCAGGGTGAGGTGGGCAGCCAGGTAGGGTCTGGAGATAGGTGGGCGACCACCACCAGTAGTGCTAAGATCTGCCAGTCCCCCTGCTGGGTCCTTCCCCGTCTGGGCTTGCAGTGACAATGAGGCCCCTTAGGCCCCTCTTGCCTCTTCTCTCAGTGGCCTCTGAGAGGTCACTTACCCTCCCTGTCTCT